GGATAGGAGAAGGAAAAGGGGTGTAGGTGTAGTAATAATTCACGAGATTTTTATATTGCTTTTCTAGTTAATTTTTATTCAAAAAAAGGAGGCCCTGGCTGCTGCTGTCACAAAAGGATATCTTTGGCTTACGTTGAAGGCGGTGTGTGTCCACCGGTGGCTGCGCGGATCACTGAACACTGTGTCGATATTCGGAGGGGTACTTGGGCACACGTCTGCCCTCGGCGAAAGTCAAGACGAAAGAGAGCGAGCTAGTCCCCGGTAATCGCGAAGTTGGCTGCGATTATCCGGTCAGAGATCGCACTTTTTCGAGAATCGAGTGCGATAACGCGTTAGAGTCGGTGTGTGCGTCTTGGCTTAATCTAACAATATATCCTTAAATTAATACTGGGTGGAGGACTCCGTGTCCGAACTTATAGCTAATAATTATACAGAAAAAAAATAAAAACTTAAAATTTGTGCGCCCTCAATTTAGGGCGTAACATTCCCTTCCTACTTCGGGGAAAGAAAGGAAACGGCTCCTGTGCCGGTCGGCTTCATAGTGACCTGATACGATCCGTCTTCGGTCGAGATCCTAAATCGCTGCCTAGACACACGGGCTGCGGGGCGACGTTCGCAGATGGCCTGCCAGACTTCCTCCGGGACTCGTCCGTCCGTGCTGTTGCACGTCCAGCCAGCCGGGAGTGGATAACGCTCGCCCCCGGAGGGTGGCCTGATCTTCGATCGGATCTGTCGCCTCGGGTCGTGGGTTGTTAAATTCGTTCCACTCGTCTGATGACTCCCACCAAAGGTTTTCCAGCTCCGGCGTGATCTGTCCCAACAGGTGTTGTAACGTCGCGGGCGACATTCCCATTGAGGCGTCCGAGGTGTTGGACGCTGGCGTAGTCGGGACTGTTCCTGGGTCTGCTCCTCGTGGGGGGTCGTGTGGCAGGCCACATGGACTGGTGGTGGCTGGTAGGGCACTACCGCAAGGGTAGGCTCCTTTCGTCGGAAGCGTTGCCCGGTGCTCTCCTCGTCATCGCTGGACTCGGACTCCCACTCCATTGCCTTACCCGTAGGGTAGTGTGGTGGCTCAGGGGCATCAAGTGTCCCGAGGGGCTCGATCGCTGGCGACCCGTGAGAGCGCTTCGTATTGGGTCACAGAGAAGACGTGGTGGACGGCTTCGGTCCCATCTCCTCGTCTTGGGAACAGGCGGTGTCGACCGGGCATCTTGGCTGACCGCCTAGGGTATCAGCTCCCTCTATCTCGTCGGACCCCATGATGCACAGATGCACGGGGGACGGCGGGAAAGATACGACCGGTTCGTCGGGTGGTCGGTATGGTGCCTCCATTTGGATCATCTCCCAGCTCGTCTTGAGGAGATAGATCCAGGACCCTTGGTGGTATCCGCGTCCTCGTCCTCACCATAGGGCGCCTGTTCCCTGGGTCCGGATTCGTCGCTGCTGACGTCCTCCACGTAGGGTTCCGGGTGGTCGCGGTAGTCGGGGCTGCGTCCGTACGGGTTGTATTCCAGTGTTGTCTCTGATGACCCGGTTGGACTTGGGTTTCGCTGACGGGGTGCCTGGTAGATCCGGTAACCGGCCGCGTCCGTGTAAAACGGGGAGCCTCCTCTGGTCGGGGCGGGGGGCGACATCGGCTCGTCCTCCGACTCGTAGCTGGGGCCGCGTCCGCACGGGTTGTATGTGCTCTCTGGTGACCCGATTGGACTCGGGTCTCGCTGACGGGATGCCTCGTAAATCCGATGTCCGGCTGCGTCCGTGTAAAACGGGGAGCCTCCTCTGGTCGGAACGGACGACATCGGCTCGACCTCCGACTCGCTGGTTGACGCGTGGCGGGATCGTGTCCAAGCGCTGGGCCCTGACGAGGGTGGGGTCGCTCCACCAGAGCCTTCTGGTTGGCGCCTTCCCGTCGAGCACGGCCGAGTGGACCTCTCGGCGTACGCCGTTCCTGGACGTAGCCGAGGGTCTCGTGTGGCCCTTGACTGGCGGTTGTTTTGGAATCTGCGGTCAGATTCCTCCTCGCTGTCGCTGGATGACAGGACGATCGTTTCCATGTTGTCGATCTGTGGAAGAGGCAACTAAACTATCTTAGTTCTATTGGTACTTAACAATAGGGATAAATGGGTAGCAGCGAATGGATTTTCTGGCTTTGAATTTAACTTTAGCGGGTCACAAAGGAAGGTTGAGGCGCTTAAGATCACCCCTCGTTGACTGCGTCGGCCGGTTGGCTTCGTTGGAACGGCCCGGGTTGATCGCCGGTGTCCTCCTTGGTAGTATCGCTGTCTTGATCGTCGGAGTTACCTGGGGAAGAAGAATGAAACGCTTTTAAGTCTCCAATATTAGCAAGTCGTCCCTTCCGCTGACCGGGTAGGCGGATTCGGACGACGTTGGGCGAAGGAAAAGCGACCACTTTATACGGTCCGTCGAATTTCGGGGCGAGCTTCGCTGCGAACCCTTCTGCCGCTTTGGACAGGTGGTGTTGCCGCACGAGGACCAGTGATCCCATCTTGGATTTCCAAGTTCGACGGAGCAGGCTATATTGCCTCCCCTGCTCTCGGCTGGCCTTTTGAAGGTTGTTCTGAACGATCTGGAAGACTTCTTTCAAGCGCTCTGCTCTCTCCGATGGGCTCTGGGGCGATGTTGCTGTTCCGGGGGTCACACGGTCGTACCATGATCCATGTAGCCGCGGTTCTCGAGCTTGTAGAAGAAAGGCTGGGCTATAACCGGTTGATTCTGAGACACTTGTGTTGATCGCGAGTGATAGTCCGGGTGGCAAACTGTCCCAGGTGTTCTGTCCACTCTCCACGTACTGTGCGATCATTGTCTTGACCGTGCGGTTCGCGCGCTCAGTCGGGTTCTCTCGTGGTCAGTATGGGGCGGTGAATTGGAGTTCTACTCCCATTTCCTTGAGGAAGTCCTTGAACGTCTTGCTGGTAAACTGTGATCCGTTATCACACACCAGTTTCCTCGGGGCTCCGAAATGGCTGATGATCCGTTCGCGGAAGGCTCGTACCTATCAGAGTCGCCGTGGTTGCCTTCCGTAGGGGTATCAATTCAACCCACTTGGTGAAGGTGTTGAAGAAGACGAGGAGCATGGTATTCCCCTCTTTTGAACGAGGCAGCGGTCCGACGAAATCCGCACATAGTATGCCAAAGGGTTTGGTGACCTGTCTCTTTAGCATCTTCCCAGCTTGTTGCCGCTGATCTGCCTTGTATTTCTGGCACAGGATACACTGACGAACGTGACGTCGCACATCGAGAAACATCCCTGGCCAGTAGTACTTCTGTGAGATCCTGATGATTGTCTTCCTAACGCCAAGATGTCCGGCCGTGTGTGCATCATGGCATTCATGTAGAATCCGAGCTCGGTGTTCGGCTGCTACGCACAGTTTCCATGGTACCTAGTCCTGGTCATCTGGACGGTGGCCAAGGTGGCGATAGAGTTCTCCGTTTTCGATGATGAAGTCTGGGAACTTCTGTGGGTCGTCCTGGACATCCTTCATTCTCCGTTGCAACCACTTGCATTGGTGCTCTCCTTGCGTAAGTCTCTGTAGGTGTTCCAAAGGTTGCCGAGATAGGGCGTCGGCTACTACGTTATACTTCCCGCGGTGGTAATGTACGTCGTATTGGTATTGCTGGAGCTCTAAAGCCCATCTAGCAATTCTCCCGGTTGGGTTTTCGATTTGGTCCAGCCATTTCAGTGCTAAGTGGTCGGTGATTACATCGAACCTGTAACCTTCGAGGTAGCATCGCAATTTCCGTATTCCCCAGACTATGGCCAAACACTCCTTTTCTGTGGGCGAATAATTTAACTCTGCGGCGTCGAGCTTGCGGCTGACATAGGCAATAACTCGTTCCTGGCTGTCGATTTCCTGGGTCAATACTCCTTCGAGTCCGTAATTGCTGGCGTCAGTCTGGAGTGTCATCTTGACAGAGAAGTCTGGGCATGCCAGCATGGGTGCGTCTGTCAGTAGACTTTTCAGGAGGTCGAAGGCACTCTGTTGCTCCGTCTCCCACTTCCACCGTTGGTTTTTCCTCAGCAGGTTCGTCATGGGCAGGACCACTGTGGCGAAGTTAGGCACGAATCGCCGGTACCAAGAGGTCATTCCAAGGCATCTCCTCAGCTCCCGTAGGCTCGTGGGAGGGCTGAGGTTTCGTACGGCAGCTACCTTGTCCGGATCGGTGTGAATGCCCTCGTCACTGATCAAGTGCCCGAGGTAGGCCAGTTTCCTCTTGAAGAATGAGCACTTTTCCTGGTTAATACGCAGGTTGGCTCTCCTCAATCGCTCGAAGACTTTGTGCAGGTTGTCCATGTGTTCTTCCAGGCTGGCTCCGATGACAATAATGTCATCAAGGTAGACGAACGCGTACGGGTCGAGGTCTGGCCCGATCACGCTATCTAATGCACGCTGGAATGTTGCCGGGACCGAATGCAAGCCGAAAGGCATGACTCGCCACTGAAATAGGCCTCGTCCGGGTACCGTAAATGCGGTACATGCCCGGCTGTCTTCGGCCATGGGTATCTGCCAGTATCCATTGCGCAGATCCAGGGTCGAATTGTATTTTGCATTTCTCAGTCGTTCTAAGATGTGATTAATACGCGGCAACGGATATGCGTTCGGGATGGATTTTGCGTTTAGTTGTCGGTAATCCACGCACATGCGCCACTTGCCGGTTTTCTTCCGGACCAGGACCAAAGGGGCACTGTGCGGGCTACACGACGGTTCGATACATCCCTGTTCCAACAACGCGTCCACTTGTTCGTCTATGATCCGCTGCATGGACGGGTTCTTCGGAAAATAGCGTTGTTTAATCGGCCGGTCATCCCTCATAGTGATTCGGTGTTCTGCTATGTTTGCTACTCCCGTCATTCCTTCAAATCGTGCTAGGTGTTCGTCAAGGAACGCTTGGACTTGCGGATTAATCCTGCAGTCACGTTCCTGGTACTCCTGGTTGTTTGTTTGAGACTCCTGGGTCTCGATCTCTTCGTCGGGTATCCCTCAAGTGTTCTCTGCTGTCGTTCCGTCCTTGTTGTTCTCTGTTGATATTCTGGCTTCGTGGTTCTCCTCGTTGGTCTTTGTGTTTTCCTCGTTGTTCTCTGTGTTTTCTTCGTTGTTCTCTGTGTTTTCCTCGGTGTTCTCTGTGTTTTCCTCGGTGTTCTCTTCGGGCACATTGGCACCATTGTCATCCTGTGGTCCTAAGTCATGATTGGCTATGCCAAGTCGCGGTTCCGTTGATGGTGTACTCGATGTCCTGGGAGTAGTTTTGTGGCTGAGTGGTCGTCGTGGTCGGGGTCGAGGTGGTGGTTCCGAGTGGTTGCCTTGGTTGTCGTATTTCGGTCCGTTACGCCTGGTCGGCTCATCATCTCTTGGCCTTCGCCGAGACAGCGTGAGGCTTGCCGTACCACATCGGAGGGTGGTGCCGATGGAAGCGAGAAAATCCATCCCTAGGATCAAAGGTTCTAGCATGGCGGGCATTACTAGCAGGGGAACCTGAACTGACTTCCGTGCGAGCGTCACGTCCGCCAGGAGTAGCCTAGTTACTTCTACTCGAGACGTATCAGCGAGATTGATCTGCGTGAGAACCTCCCTAAACTGGTGTGGTTGGCCGACAACATGGTGGCTAAACGCACGTGTCCGCCAATGACGACCTCGGCGGCGATCCTTCCCCTCTCTATCCTAAGTTGTGCAGTTACTGGCGGTTCTCGGGTGGATTTGGTCCCGTCGAACTCCGCCGGTCGAGGGGACCCATCCCGTTTCCCGGTTGTGGGCGTCGACAGCACTCGACGGTTCGGACGTCTCTTCGTCCACAGTCCCAACAGAAATACTGTCGTGGATTCCGGCAATCGCGGCTAAAATGCCCCGGTGCTCCACAATTTCGGCAAGCATCCCGCACGTCGATTCGGCGATCTGAGGCTGTTACCCGGTTAACCCGAGCTGGTGGGGCAGCTTTGGGTTCTGGCGATGTACGCGGTGTGTTTCCGTGGCGAATCCTCTCGGTGAACGCAGGTTGCGTCCGACCCTGTGTAGGTGGGCGGTAAGCTGTCGTATTTCTAGGGGCGTGGTTATAGTTGTTTCTTTCGAAACTCCGCTTCTGGACCGCCTCGAATTCGGTGGCCAACAGAGTTAGTTCCCCAATGGTTCGGAACTCGCTACGTCGGATATACATCTGGTATTCCGGCGCGATATTTTCGTACAACCTATTCAGCTCTTGGATCTCGTAGTACCCCGCATGGCGCATGAGAACTCGAAGGTCTAACATAAAATCTTTGAACGTTTCTCCTTCCCGTTGCTTACGACTCCGAATCTGGTCGTCCAAGCGTTGGAGGTATCGGGGGGAAGGAAAACTCGAGGAATTCGCGTCGAAATGTGGTCCAGTCAGCCCCTTGGAGGCGGCTGGTCTGAAACCACTTTTCCGCCCTGCTCGTCAGCAGCTCTGCCATGGCTCGCGGAAGGAGTCTTAGGTCGATCCCGTAGGATAAGGCCCGGCTTTCGACTTGTTCGATAAAGGCTAAGGGGTCTGTATACCCGTCGAATTGAAGACCCCAGACAAACTCGTGGCGGTTCCGATCGTGGCTCGGATCTTTCCCAGGTTCCCGGTTAATGATCACCGGTGGGACGGGGTTCGACTCTAAAAAATGTGTCTCGGTTCGTGTTCACCGGGGGCACGGGACTCGGGGCACGAGAGGAAAATTGCTTGCCTAGGTCAGCGAGTCGAGCCCACACTTCTTGGGTTTGTTCAGAAGCCCTAACTAGGGTGGCAAAGTTGCGCCGCAAATCGTCGACGAAGCCTTCGGTGGAGAATCCGAATTCGTCAGCAAAGGCTAGTAATTCGGCCTTTGAACGTGAATAAATCCACCGCGAGGGGACCCCAGGATTTTTAAATAAGCGTGGAACGGGCTCACCAGAAATTTTCTGGTCGGGTCCCATGTTTGCAGCGTTTCCTTAATGCGTGGTCCTCTTGGAATAATGTCTTCTTTGGTTGGAGTCTTTACAGGCCCTCTTGGGCTATATGTTAATTTTTTATTTTTTTTTTTTTTTTTACAGGCACTCGGTTGCGTAGACTGTACGGGATCGCGAAACAGCACGTGGGCTGGATATCGGACGCGTTCACTAGTTCGTTGAGGTTATTTTTCACGGTCGATGCACTTCTGCTTAGTTTTCTTCGCGGACTTTTTAGGTTATGTCACTCGTCTTAGGGCTACGCACTCCCCATACAGGTGGTAATTTTCCTGGGTTTTTCTCCCTATCAGGTCCCTGCTCGGGCGCCACTTCTAATGTTTGTTCTCTGGCCGGGGTAAAATCTCAATCGGGGCCAGGGAACCTATACAAGAAATTTATATAGAAGGGTGGAACCTGTAGTAGGAATTTGTATGAGGAGGTTGTAGTCTCGGTTAAAGACGGGTGTTACTCGATCGCACTGCTTGGCGGGGGAACCCGGAAATATTTGGTTCGCAGCGCCCTCTGTCGGCGGGGCGAAAAGCAACCTCAGCAATTGACGGGGAACCTGGGAATATTTAGTTCGCCGCGCCCTCTGTCGGTGGGAAGAGGTACTGTGAGCCATCCCGCTGCGTGGTGTGGATCCCGGGAATATTCGGTGGTGGTTGGCTACGGCGGAGGATTCTGATTGGGCTCGGAATCTGCGGAGGCGGGGGACTCTACATTCCAGGTGGACTCGGAGTGTATTGGGGGAGGCTAATGTTCTACACTTCGGCTGGGCTCGGAGTCTACAAGGATTCCAAGGCTCTACACTCCGGCTGGGCTCGGAGTCTACAAGGATTTCAAGGTGCTACATCCCGGTTCGACTCGGAGTCTACAGGGATTCTAAGGTGCTGCACTCCCGTTGGACTCGGAGTCTGCAGGGATTTTAAGGCGTGGTACTCCGGTTAACTCGGAGACTACAGGGATTCTAAGGTGTTACTCTCCGGTTGACTCGGAGGCTACGGTTATTCTAAGGAGTCCCTGGGATAGGAGAAGGAAAAGGGGTGTAGGTGTAGTAATAATTCACGAGATTTTTATATTGCTTTTCTAGTTAATTTTTATTCAAAAAAAGGAGGCCCTGGCTGCTGCTGTCACAAAAGGATATCTTTGGCTTACGTTGATGGCGGTGTGTGTCCACCGGTGGCTGCGCGGATCACTGAACACTGTGTCGATATTCGGAGGGGTACTTGGGCACACGTCTGCCCTCGGCGAAAGTCAAGACGAAAGAGAGCGAGCTAATCCCCGGTAATCGCGAAGTTGGCTGCGATTATCCGGTCAGAGATCGCACTTTTTCGAGTATCGCGCTCGGGGCCTCACGAGTGCGATAACGCGTTAGGGTCGGGGTGTGCGTCTTGGCTTAATCTAACAATATATCCTTAAATTAATACTGGGTGGAGGACTCCGTGCTAATAATTATACAGAAGAAAAATAAAAACTTACAATTTGTGCGCCCTCAATTTAGGGCGTTACACTACGAGTCTCTAACAACTTGGCGGATGTTGAGCAGAAAACCTTACTGGAGGGCTAAGCAGCGTTGCTGCAGTCAACACTCCACGCTCCACCCTGAAGTCGGTCGGGATTTCGTCGGCTGGGCCTCGGCAGGTCCTCACTCTCGTGTGGACCGACTCCGGGCACCTTTCGCACAACTCCCTCGGATTCTCGTCGGCTGGCCCTCAGCAGGTTCTCAATCTCTCATGCGAACCGACGCTGGGTACCTTTCGCACAACATCCACTTACTCGGACTCCACCAATATCGTCGTTTTTGAGACTCGTAGACGCACCCTACAACTTACCTTGTACCCTCGGGATCTCAGCTTGGCAGTCTCAGCTTATGTAGACGTGACCGTCGTTGGGCTTCTCGACTCGGCGATCTTGATTCCGGATATCCTGGCACTTGTTGTTCACTTGGGCTTTATTCGCGTTGATACGGTCACTTGCACGACTTTCACTTGACTGTCCCGAAGTGTGCGCGCGTCCTCCTTTTATACGCCATCCTGGTCCCGCAATTTCCCTTCCTCGGTGGCGTGATCGGGTCCAAAGTGCAGGACACGTGGCGTGATCGGGTCCAAAGTGCAGGCACAGTCCCGTTAGTTCACGGTCATTCCTTTTTGTGCTGGTCCAAAGTCCGCGAACTTCACCGTTATACGGGTCCAAAGTTCAGGACTTCACCGTTATAACGGGTCCAAAGTTCAGGACTTCACCGTTATAACGGGTACAAAGTCCAGAATGGTACCGTTAGTTCACGGTCTCTCCTCTTTGCGCGGGTCCGAAGTCCGCAGACTCACCGTTATTGGGTCCAAAGTCTGCAGACTCACCGCAGCATTGAGTCCAAAGTCCTTTAAGCCGTTATTTCCTTCTTTACCACCGCACACAGTGCATCCCGCTGTTGCCATGCAGCTGCCCTGCACTCAAAATTGTAAGGAGTTTTACAACTCCTTACATCTCCCCCTTCTTCCGGAAACTTTTGAAAGCTTCGGGCTCCGGAATTTCCTGGGAAAAACGTCCTCGAATCGCCTCCGTCCCACGTCGACCTCCAACTCCTGAGTGCGGCCAAGGGCCTCTTGGATCTCAGCCGGACAGCCTCAGCCTATTTGACCCTACCTGTTCGTTCAGCATCTCGACTTTGGCATCTTGACCCCCACGGCTCCTTGCGCACACGTCCATCCTCGATCCTTGTGGCCGCTGCCACTCCTCGTCGACCTCCTCCTGCCACGGCTGAGAGCTCCTCCAATCTCAGCACCTAAGTCTCAGCTTATGTAGACTTCCCGTCATTGGGCTTCTCGACTAGGGCATCTTGACTGTCGAAAACTCCCAGCACGCGACTCCTTCCGATCCTCGTTTGAATTCGAACCGTTTCCCGCGTAGTATTTTCCCCGCGCACAATCGATAACTCATCTCGATCGATCGTGGCGTTGCCACTCCTCAGGGCTGCAGTCATAACCAGTGTGACCGGCCAGCGATGTTTCCAGTATTTTTTTGCCCCCATCGATCGCACTATCGATCGACCGCCGTTATCGTGGCGACCCCATTACCAATTTTTCGCCGGCCTCGTGGTTTTGTTTTGGTAAGTGTTTTGATGTTAATTTCGTGATTTCTACCACTTAACCGTTCCTTTTCTAGCCACTCCAAGCCGGGTTAAGCCGAGGACGCCGTCTCTCGTTGTTTGCCTTTCGCCGTACGTGCCTAACCTTTACTATTTCCTCCCTTTTGTTTTCAGCCCGCCTGCTCACCTGCGGATCGCCCGCTTGCTCACCGCAGATCGCCCGCCTCCACCTGCCCTCGCAGGACCTGATGCAGCCGCCGCTGGATTTATCTCATTCATTATTTTTTTATGTGATTTAATTTACTTTTTGTGATTTTGTGCGTGCAGTTTTTTTTTTAAACTCCACCGAAATAAATTCGTGTGTGTTCGTGGTGTCGTCGGCCCCCCTCCTCCAACCCCCCGTGGCAATATAACTCGGTGGTTTTGTGTTGTTTTTTTTCCCTTTTTATTGGTT